GGATTATAAAATAAGTGCAGTGTGCGGTGTGCAGTGATTGTGGTTCTACTAAAGTGCTTCTGGGACTTGGTATTGAAGGTTCCTAATCTGAAAAGGCACATCGGAACAGCCAGGTTTTCAAATTCTTTCTGAAGACTGCCATGTAGGGGCCTGTCTGAGATCTTTGGGAGGGGGTTCCAGAGTCGGGGGGCCACCACAGAAAGGCCCTGTCTCGTGTCCCCACAAGCGCTTGCGACGCAGGCGGGATCACGAGCAGGGCCTCTCCAGATGAACGAACACGTGTGGGTTCGTAGACGGAGATGCGGTCACGCAGGTAGGATGGTCCCAAACCATTCAGGGCTTTGTAGGTAAGCACCTGCACCTTAAATTGGGCTCGGAAAATAAACGGCAGCCAGTGGAGCTCCTTAAACAGGAGGGTTGACCTCTCTCTGTAGGAGCCCCAGTTAACATCCTGGCTGCTGCCCTTTGGACCAGTTGGAATTTCCGAGCCCTTTTCAAGGGCAGCCCTACGTAGAGCGCATTGCAGTAATCCAATCTAGAGGTGACCAAGGCATGGACCACCCCGGCCAGATCAGCCTTCGCGAGGTACGGTCGCAGCTGGCGCACAAGTCTCAGTTGTGCAAAAGCCCTCCCGGACACCGCCGACGCCTGAGCCTCAAGCGTGAGCGATGAGTCCAAGAGGACTCCCAAACTGCGGACCTGTGGCTTCAGGGGGAGTGTAACCCCGTCCAACACAGGTAGCCACCCTATACCCCGATCCGGTTTGCGATCGACCAGGAGGACCTCTGTCTTGTCAGGATTGATCTTCAGCTTGTTCCTCCTCATCCAGATAGACACAGATAGTGACCAGCCAATTGCAAAAGGGCCAACACTGCCCAAATCCCTCTTATTTCACGTCTCGAAGATCAAATCAACAACCCACCCATTAAAAAAGACTACAGGCAGTCCCAAACATCCAATTCCTAGTTAAGAACAGGGGTGAGACATCAGGAAGTGAGAGAAATTGACCACTCAGAAGGGAAATTCGGTCCTGAAAGAGCGAGCCCTTGTCGTCCCGGCCTGAGAGCTGTGCAAAAGGCAAAGCCCCGTCATGGCCATTTTGGGTCCGAGTGCGTTCTACTTACCTCTGGAGGCTCACAGGGCAAAAGGGGGCGGGGCCAGCAGGGCTCGGCCCAATGGGAGGCGATGCGCGGCAAGTCCCGCAGGCCAAGGGAGACAAAAACGCCAGCGTGCGTCCTTCTCCCAGTGTTAAGAAGTGCGCGGAGAAGGAGGGATGATGCAGGGCATGCACTTCCTAATGCCGGGAAAGGGACGCACAGCGGCGTTGCTGGGCATGCGGGAAAAGAAGCCTTCCCTGCATGCCTCTTTTCCCTGCCCGGCAACACTGCTGCACGTCCCTTTCCCAGCGTTAGGAAGTGCGTGCCCTGCATCGCCCCTCTTTCTCCGCGCACTTCCTAACACCTGGAGAGGGACACACGCTGGCGTTTTTGTCTCCCTTGCCCTGTGAGGAGGAGGAGGAGAGGTCCAATGGGCACTTGGGCACTTGTGAGAGAAGGAGGGAGGGAGAGCGAGCTGCCTCTTGGTGTTCTTCGGGGCAGGGGCACCTCAAGAGCGCCTCAAGAGCCCCTCCCCGAGACACACGCTATACGCAAAAGCGTAATTTGGTTGAGCCGCCTCTGTTTGGAGCATGTGTAGGCGAAACTGTCAATATCAAATCCATGAATAAGGGGCTGTACTGTATAACTTATACAAGTGGACAAGCTTTTAAAAAATCATCCATAATTGTTAAACATCTGACCATGAGAAGTCTATACTGCTTACAGCATAACACCAGAAGTCTGCCTCCCTGACTTAGTTTCAGAGTGACAAAGGGCCAGCTCCATTGGTTCCACACTGCTGCAAAATGATACTGTGAATGCAAGAATAATCCATTTTCAATTCCAGCGTGTCTGGTTTTTTGTTAAAGGGGGGTGAGGGTTGTGTTTCTGCAGTACAATTTAGATTCACTTTAGAAACTGGGGATTAAAGCAATTAATCCTTCATCAAAAGCCAGCAGAAATGGAAATGAGCATTTAGGTTCAAAACTGCAGAATGGTTTCCAGAAATCTGAGAAAGGCTGGAAGTCTCGGGGAACACAAATTCATCCCTTTCCTCTTGGTCTGGGATCTCAGAACTGTTTTTAACAGGGGGACTCAACACGGAGAGACAGGTGTTATTATTATTATTATTATTATTATTATTATTATTTTGTCATGTCAGGAGAGACTTGAGAATCTGCAAGTCACTTCTGGTGTGAGAGAATTGGCCGTCTGCAAGGGCGTTGCCCAGGGGACGCCCGAATGATTTGATGTTTTATCATCCTTGTGGGAGGCTTCTCTCATGTCCCCGCATGAGGAGCTGGAGCTGATAGAGGGAGCTCATCCGCCTCTCCCCAGATTCGAACCTGCGACCTGTCGGTCTTCAGTCCTGCCGGCACAGGGGTTTAACCCACTGTACCACCGGGGGCTCCTTAGGTTATTATTAATTTGGCCTATTTGCATGAACTTTCAAAGGGAAGATGTTACTTTTCTCACCATGGTAATTCAAACATCCTTAAATAGGAAGACTTTAATAAGCCCAATGTGTATGTGGACATGGCCTCTACGTGTTTAGTGTGGCTTATTCTCAAGGAATTAACACAGGCAGGTTTTCTTACTCCTGGTTCAAAATGACAGTTTCCGGACGTCGGATGATTGTGACTTCGGAGTTGCCTGTATAGAAAACCTGAAGCATCCATGCCAACTTTTCAAACAGATCCACAAATGTTGTTGTTGTTGTTCTTGTTGAGTGTCTTCAGTCATTTCCAGCTTGTGGCTAACTTAAGTCAACTCAATCCCAGAATTTTTTTAACGAGAATTGTTCAGCGTGGGTTTGACTTCCTCTGAGTCTGAGAATGTACGACATGCCCAAGGTCACCCAGTGGGTTTCCATGTTTGAGTGACCATTCAGATTCTAGTTTCCAGAGTCATAGATTGCAGCTACACTGCAGATTCATTGCAGTTAGACATATACTGAAGTTAAACATCACTTTAACTGCCATACCTCAGCGCTACTGAATCATAAGAGTTGTAGTTTGGAGGTTAAAGGCCTTGTAAACTGCAATTTCCATATGTCATAGCAATGGGTAGTTAAAGTGGTGCCAAACTGCATTAATTCTAGATGCAACCTTAGACTAAAACTCAAACCATTACTCCATGCTGGCTCTGTTGCAGCTGATAGTGAGTTGTTTATTGATGTTTACTGATGGTTATTGATGTTAATTGCTTATTGTATTATTGTGTTAATTGTCTTTTAAATGGCTGTATGATGTTTGCATTGAATTTTTGCTGCTACTTGTTGTTAACCGCTCTGAGTCGCCTAATTGGCTGAGAAGAGCAATATACAAATAAAGTAAATAAATAAATAAATAAATAAAACCAAGAGCGATCCTTTGTAGAGGCAGAAAAGTATGTTTTTATTTTCAGCTGAGACCCTGGTGGGGGAATCTCCTCCCAAAGCAAACCAGAGTGAGGATAAAGGCGTTGACTTTCCCTTTTATACATCTTCAAATGCAGGCAAACAAAGAAACATGCTTCTACATACGTAACATCATCACTACGTCACTTTTGCATCATAGAAATATCAAATTATATCTTCCTACATGCAAGGGGCATGTCTCCATATTTTTTCTAAAGAGCAGACTAGGATTCAGCTTACACAGATCCATCAAGGGGCCTATTTTGACCTGTCAGGAGGGAGGGAGAGAGACTCCTTACTTTTTACCTCTATCTGTTGGTGCTAGGCCGTTCTTATCTCCCCCTCCTGAAATGTTCACACACACACCCCACCTCTTGCCTGTGCCTTGGACACAGATCCTTCAGCATCCCTTTTGCCCTGTCAGCTTGGCTTCCTAATACAGAGAGAACCCAGTTTTTCTACATTTCCGTGCGCACAATATATGTATAAATATCTATATTTCCAATATCTCCACATCTGTTACTATGCCACCTTTACCCCTACTTGTCTACCCTTTAGTGTTGGAAATCAGCCTGTGTTTGTGTTTCAGGATTCTGATGTGGGAAATGATGAGGGAAATGATGGTGCTGATGCTGAGATACAAGATGGAGATGGTTTGGTCAATGATTTTCATACAGACAATGACAGAGAGGCCCCAGTGCAAAGGGCAGTTTCTCATGAGAGTATTCCTGCTGGGCCTAGCAATGATGATTCACTTCCTCTCTCTGTGAGTTCTCAAGATTTGAGTTTGGAAAACAATCTGACACCTGGAAATTTTAATGAGCAGCAAGATAGGGAGCTGAAGAATAGGCAGCTAGAGATTAGCCAGGATCGACAGCAAACTCAGTGTTTACGTCGCTCTGAAAGGCTTCACCTGATTAGGGGAAAATGTGCAGGGAAGCGAAACGTATTTCTGAGTTTTGGGATAAAAGGTTTGCCTCAAGGGGCAACCCGTTAGATCAGGCATCATATGGAAACCAAGTTTATGTGCCATGGAAATCCTGTTCAAGAGGTCTTGTTCTTGTGGAGTTTTTTAGCCTTTTGGATTTCTTTGCATCCTGTTGATTCCTGTTTGGATAAATGCTGTCTTGGATTGCTTTTATCTCTTGTGTGGACATTGCTTTGCGTTACTGCCTTTTACGGACTTATTACTTTTTGGAACTATCTTATTTTCTTACAAGCATTTATTTCTTCTGGCTATTTACTAAGTTTCAATAAAATAAGATTTGTTCTTCACTCTTCGTGTGGTGTGTTTTGGAGTCAGAGGGCTCTTTCCTGACCTGGAGTGCAACATTTAGCCTATTCTTACATTAGCCATTTGTGACTCATGCCTAACTAAAAGAAGAAAAGATGAACCTCTTTTATAATGCTAGTTGCCAGGCAGTCATTCTCGTTCACCATAGGTAAATGGTTATCGATAAATCTGTTCCATGCTGTAATGATACCTATGGTGTCTGTCTTTCTAGGCACTGCTAAAGTGGTATTTGAGGTCACCCTCTCTCCAAGGATGGTCGCTGTGAAACGGGGAGGTTCTGTTTGGTTGAATTGCAGCTCCACCTGCAACTCCACAGAAGTGGTGCTGGAAACAAGCCTTCCAAAAGGAAAAGAAGAACGTGGCCCAGGTTGGATGTCCACTGAGCTTCAGGATATCACAAAGCAGACCTCATTTGTCCATTGCTACCAGACCTGCGAGGGGGAAAGTAAAAATGCAAGTGCTACTATATTAACATATGGTGAGTGACTCCTATAAAAAGTGGGGGGGGGGGGAATCACTGAGGAGCTTTGAGGAACTGCTGCTGACTTGTGCCTCTCTAAATTGCTCTTGCTATCTGATGTGAGGATTGGCATTCCCCCACCATAATATGTGCCAAGGATTGGTATCTATATAATAGGCTTGGGCAATCCATGGTTCTAAATGGTTCTAAAGTACTTACAAAACTAAAGTTCTGGTGGTGAAAATTTCAGAACTCTAACAAAACTCTCAAAATTTCATAATAAATGGCAGTTCCTAATTGGTTCTGTCATTAAAATCACCAATAATGAAATAATAATTCAATTTTGAAAGTTTTGTTAGAGTTCTGAAATTTTCACCACCAGAACTTTAGTTTTGTAAGTACTTTACCATGGATTGCCCAAGCCTACTATATAATAGAACAGACATCCAGTTTTAGACCCATATAAAGATGAAATGAAGAGGTTATTTCCTTTCACTTAATTAGGATGACAGGATAAGGAACAATTAACCTGGCCTTCTTGCACCTAGCTAAAAGATGGAGGAGAGGATGGGTGTCCACTGACTTTCTCTACATCTCTTCCACAGCAATGTTTCTTAGCTGAAAAATGGTGGTGATAGTACTTCCAAAGGAGTGCTGAAAGACCATAGGGGGCTGGTGCTTCTTTTAAGTTCTACCAGGGCAGATCCAGGTTTTTAGAGTCCATGTGTGTGTGTGTGTGTACACAACCCTATATATATAGGGTTGTTGTTGTTACAGTCAATAACCAGCACCAAAAAAGAACAAACATCAAAATAGGAACATAACATGCATTTAGATATTAGGAAACATTGTTAAAAACAGAGTTTAAAAGCCAGTATTGAATGTGATAGCTAAAACAGTATTAAACATTTATATACTTAAATGACGAAGGTGAAAAGTAAAATTATTAATTTATTTACCGTATTTATATACCGTCTTTCTCAGCCTGTGGGCGACTCAGGGCAGTTTACATTCAGCACAATTCAATGCCTGCGTGACTGCATCTCCGTATATGAACCCACACAATCTCTCCAATCATCTGGAGAGGCCCTGCTCACGATCCCACCTGCGTCGCAAGCGCAATTGGTGGGGACGAGGGACAGGGCCTTCTCCGTGGTGGCCCCCCGACTCTGGAACTCTCTCCCCAAGGATATCAGACAAGCCCCAACATTGGCAGTCTTTAGGAAGAGCTTGAAGACGTGGTTGTTCCAGTGTGCCTTCCCAGAATAGGAAATTCCTAGCATCATGTCCCAATTGCACTTTACTAGAGATTAAGATTTTCTGCACACCTCACTTATCTCCAAAAACCTATCCATCTCACCTGTCATGTTCAGCATTTTAAAATTGTAATCATTACATTTGGCCCGGCCTTAGTTTTAAATGTGTCACGGTGTTATTGTCTAATGTTTATTGCTATTGTTTTAATGTTTATTGCTTGTTTTATGAGTTTATTTATTGTTGTATTTGTTATGCTGTTGTTTTATTGATGTGTTGGGCCTCGGCCTCTTGTAAGCCGCACCGAGTGCTTCGGGAGATGTTAGCGGGGTATAAATAAAGGATTATTATTATTATTATTATTATTATGCCCCCAACAACATAAAAACACTTAAAACATTAGCATATCAAATATAAATTCATATAAAAACAATAAATACAAATAAGTATGAAAACCTTCTAAGACTGTGACTTAGGTTTTTAGGGTATTTTTTACTACAATTTCTAGACTTATGCATGAGTAGATTATAGCAAGCTACTGCTCTGTTAGATGAACTAGGCAGCTTGCTCTGTACTGAGCCCACTCAAATGGGAAAATTTGCATCCTTATGCCTGAGATGACCCATGAACATTGGAGACTCAGGGCTAGACCCTGAGATCTGGCACCTAGTTGCTTCAGTTACATTTGTCTCTTTTTTCTAATATGTCATTTCAGATCCTCCAGAGCATGTGTTTATGAAACTTGAGAAATCTTCATCCAGCCAGAATATTCACCAGACCTATAACCTGACATGCCGTGTTATAAAGATAACCCCAGTTCGCAATCTCAGTGTGATCTTGATGAAAGGGGCAAAGAGGGTCCATTCATGCAAACTCCAGAACTATGCAAAGTCTGGAACTAAAAGCTTTAACATCACGCATGCCATTGCTCTTCGGCCACATGATCATGGGCAGGAGGCCACTTGTCAAGTGACCTTGGATCTCAATGCAGAGGAGCCCGTCCTCATTGCTACATCCTCCAAATTGGAACTCAAGACTCCTGGTGAGTTTGCAGGCCCAATGCCTGTTTTCTAAGCAGCATAGAATCAAAGAATCATAGAATCAAAGAGTTGGAGGCGATCTCATGGGCCATCCAGTCCAACCCTCTGCCAAGAAGCAGGAATATTGCATTCAAATCACCCCTGACAGATGGCCATCCAGCCTCTGTTTAAAAGCTTCCAAAGAAGGAGCCTCCACCACACTCCGGGGCAGAGAGTTCCAGAAGAGTTTGCTCCAGGCATAGTCAGCCCATTGTATGCTAATCAAGGTGGTCAGCTGAAGGATCCACACCCAGCCCAACTTACAAAAGCCCTTTGTCTCACCCTGGTCTTTCCACAGATATATAAATCCCTTTTTTCCCAGCTCCAGCAGACCTCACCTCTGAGGAAGCTTGCCATAGATGCAGGCGAAACGTCAGGAGAAATGCCTCTAGAACATGGCCATATAGCCCGAAAAAACCCACAAGAACTGAGAGAGTTCCACTGCTGAACGGCTCTCACAGTCAGGAAGTTCTTCCTTATGTTCAGATTGAATCTCCTCTCTTGTAGTTTGAAGCCATTGTTTCGTCCTAGTCTCCAGGGAAGCAGAAAACAAGCTTGCTCCCTCCTCCCTGTGGCTTCCTCTCACATATTTATACATGGCTATCATATCTCCTCTCAGCCTTCTCTTCTTCAGGCTAAACATGCCCAGCTCCTTAAGCCGCTCCTCATAGGGCTTGTTCTCCAGACCCTTTATCATTTTAGTTGCCCTCCTCTGGACACATTCCAGCTTGTCAATATCTCTCTTCAATTGTGGTGCCCAGAATTGGACACAATATTCCAGGTGTGGTCTAACCAAAGCAGAATAGAGGGGTAGCATTACTTCCCTAGATCTAGACACTATGCTCCTATTGATGCAGGCCAAAATCCCATTGGCTTTTTTTTTTTTTTTTGCCACCACATCACATTGTTGAATTCATTTCCAATTGCACCATGCCTCATCTCATTCCCTTGTTTCAATAGGACTTTCAGCATTTACAGATTTCACTGTTGTGGATTTGAGTCTTTGCACATTTTATTACTATGTTCTCTCTAGGAATCTGTAGGTTCTCCAGCAGAATTCTATGGTTAACTTCTATCGTGGAAAGTTGAGATAAATCACCATTCTTATTTCAGCTGCTTCGATCTTCCAAGTTCTACTTGAAGGCATGACGTTGTAGTAACACCGGTCTCTTCAATTCAACTGTCACCGAAAGAAGCACTTTATCTTTATTTACAAAATATACATTCCAATCTCTGATAATATCTGATCACATCTTAGCACTCTGCACGAAGGCACACGCCGCCTTGCTTATTTTCCGGTTTGCACAGGAAACTCCAATAGTGACACTCTATTCAAAGTTCTGGTTTTGACCTACAAAACCCCTATATGGCTCCGGCCCAGCGTATCTGTCCGAATGTATCTCTTTCTATGTCCCACCTCGGAGCTTAAGATCTTCTGGGGAGGCCTGCTCTCAGCCCCACCTCTATCACAAGTGAGGTTGGTGGGGACGAGGAGCAGGGCCTTCTCGGTGGTGGCCCCTCGACTGTGGAATTCGCTTCCCGGGGAAATTAGGTCATTGACATCCCTCCTCTCCTTTAGGAGGAAATTTAAAACATGGATATGGGACCAGGCCTTTGTGTAACCTGGCAGATAGACAAAGGACAATGACGACTAGAACTGGATAGGATTATGACAATGCGGAATGAACTTACGGATTTTGAACTTGGCGAACGTTGATCACTAGATTGGTTTTTATTAGTTGTACTGTATAACTGGATTGTTTTAATTGTTTTATTATTGTTGCTGCTATATATTTTATCTTACTATGTGTATTGCTGGCATCGAATTGTGCCTTTTGTAAGCTGCCCTGAGTCCCCCTTTGGGGGTTGAGAAGGGCGGGGTAGAAATACTCAAAATAAATAATAAATAATACCAGTTCTACACATATCTATTGTTTTAACCAATGCATTCCTGAAACCATACACTTTAAACTATAAGCAATTTTCACACCAGAAAACATTACATACTGACAACTTCCACCATAGAGTTGTGCTGGAGGACCTAGGGGTTCCTAGCAAGGCATTTGTAGGTCCTCCACCGTGATTTTATGGTCAACTTCTGAAAGAAATTGACAATAGAGCTGCACTAAGGATTACCTTCTCCCAGGCAAAATATAATATTGTTTATTTCTAGCATTTTTATTTTTGTGAGGGTTCTGTACTCCTAACTCCAGTGAATAGGGAGGATTGACTATAAAACACTGCCCCATAGAGAAATAATACTGCCCCACCTTTAGCTCCATATACTCAAGTATGCCACAAATACTGCATTCCTCAGGGGTCCTCAAACCTTTTAAACAGAGGACCAGGTCACAGTCCTTCAAACTGTGAAATTGGAAGGCCGGATTATAATTTGAAAAAAACATGAATGAATTATGCACACTGCACATATCTTATTTGTAGTGCAAAAACACTTAAAAACAATACAATAATTAAAATGAAGAACAATTTTAACAAATATAAACTTGTTCTGTTGCACGTTGGGCCTGTAAATAGTTGTCTTTAAAACAGGACGTGCAACCTTTGCCCAACAATAAGCCAGGGGGCCCAAAGAGAAGTTCTCAGGGGTTTCCACCACAAACAGTCTTTAGATGGCTTGAGAAGTACAACAAAGTGTGTTTATTAATGAACAATCAAACAGAAACTTCTCTTGTCTTCAGTAAAATTAAGCAAATGATTCCAAGCTTTTGGGCAATATGCTCAATATGCCCGAATACTCAATATGCCCAAATATAAACACAGATGGAGTTTGGGGGAAATAGACCTTGACATTTGGGAGTTGTAGTTACTGGGATTTATAGTTCACCTACAATCAAGGAGCATTTCGAACTCCACCAACGATGGAATTGGGCCAAACATTCCCACACAGAACCCCCATGACCAACAGAAAATACTGTGTTTTCTGATGGTCTTTGGTGACCCTTCTGACACCCCCCTGGTGACCCCCCCCCCCTCCGGTGTCTTGACTTCCCAGGTTGAGAAATGCTGCCTTAAGGCCATCCAGTCTAACTCCCTTCACCAGGACAAGAAAACATAATCAAAGCCCTCCTGATAAAGGGCCATCCAGCCATTCACACACACACATATATGTATATGACAGATGCAGTATCAAAGATTTGAAAGGGACCCCTAAAGAAGGACAATTATATGTTGCGTGTTCCAGAGTAGGCAAACCAGACAATCTCCACATCAACACTGACAAAGAAACAAAGAAATATTATTTATCCACAAGCATAAAGAAATTACATATATTCGAAACCAACTTTATTTTCCAGATCACCAGACTGGGCCACAGCAATGCGTGGCAGGGGACCGCTAGTCTTCTATATAAATAAAAATGTAATGTTCGTTTGTGGGATTAACGTAACTCAAAAACCACTGGGCAAATTGACACCAAATTTGGACACAATATGCGTATCAGGCCAACGAGTGGCCATCAGTCATAAAAACACTGAAAAACACAGCAGAAGAGACTTAAAAAGCAAAAAAAAACATTACAATGCATGCACAAAACCACATATATATGCAAAAACACACATATATATACACATATACACAAATATATATACACACATATAAACACACAAAGCACATATACACAGACTGGGCCACAGCAATAAAATGTGACATCGCACACTTCCCATAGGACACTCCATTACATTCTCACTGTCCCCTCATCCTATACCCACAAAGCATTGCATAGTCTTCATTTTCCTGGTGGGACCTGAAACCCCTAGGATTTATTTTCTAAGCCTAGCTTCTAAGGTAGTTACAATGTTGTAATCAAGACAGACAACTTTGCAATTGTTTGGTATATATCTGATTGCTATGATCTCAAATGCCTCCAATCTCACCTGAAAATCCATGCAGTCACACGAAGCAAAATTGTTATGCAATGTTTATGAGCAGGGCGTTGAAGGAGTGAGGCACCCATCCTCACTCCTGACAAGGTTTTGTTTAAAGACACAGTTAACATAGCAGGTATTGGGACCAAAGGGGGGGGGGTCTAATTGGAGGGTTATACACTGGGGGAACACTAGGAGACTAAAATGATCAAGGGTCTGGAGAACAAGCCCTATGAGGAGCGGCTTAAGGAGCTGGGCATGTTTAGCCTGAAGAAGAGAAGGCTGAGAGGAGATATGATAGCCATGTATAAATATGTGAGAGGAAGCCACAGGGAGGAGGGAACAAGCTTGTTTTCTGCTTCCTTGGAGACTAGGATGCAGAACAATGGCTTCAAACTACAAGAGAGGAGATTCAATCTGAACATAAGGAAGAACTTCCTGACTGTGAGAGCCGTTCAGCAGTGGAACTCTCTGTCCCAGAGTGTGGTGGAGGCTCCTTCTTTGGAAGCTTTTAAACAGAGGCTGGGTGATTTGAGGGTGATTTGAATGCAATATTCCTGCTTCTTGGCAGAATGGGGTTCGACTGGATGGCCCATGAGCTCTCTTCCAACTCTTTGATTCTATGATTCTAAGGGGCACATTGCAAGTCCAACAACACCTCAACTGCAACAGGTTGCTCTAGCTGTGCTCCCATCAGAGTGCTACCATGAAGCTAGTAAAGTGATATGATGAGGCTGATATTCTGCTGACTACCTTTTTGTGATTTTCTCTTTCTCACTTTCAGAAACCTATAGAGGTGTGATTGCGGCCATTTCTGCTATAAGCATGTTAGCAACTGTGCTCCTTGGCATTTTCATTTATCTGGTTTTGGCACGTGGATCCCCTCAGCTGTAAGAACCCAACTCTACTCAAACAAGATCAATGAGAGCGATTCCGAAAGCAAAAAGACAGAATATGCTTCAAGGGATGACAACAGAGAAGATCAGAGCTTCTTCTTTACCATCATTTTTACATAAGCAATGAGTTATGGTTCACAAAGCTACTGCCAGACACTCTGTATGTAGTAAAATACCACAAATTTAAAAATAACGAGAATTGTGATAATTAAAAGTGCAGTCAAGCCTTGTCTTTAGTTCCTGCTGCACTCCAGGTCAGGAAAAAGCCCTCTGACACATAGAATCATAGAATCAAAGTGTTGGAAGAGAACTCATGGGCCATCCAGTCCAACTCCCTGCCAAGAAGCAGGAATATTGCATTCAAATCACCCCTGACAGATGGAGCTTCCAAAGAAGGAGCCTCCACCACACTCCAGGGCAGAGAGTTCCACTGCTGAACGGCTCTCACAGTTAGGAAGTTCTTCTTCATGTTCAGATGGAATCTCCTTTCTTGTAGTTTGAAGCCATTGTTCCTTGTCCTAATCTCCATGGAAGCAGTAAGAGTGAAGAAACAAATCTTTTATTGAAGTTTAGTAAATAACCAGAAGAAAAAATGCTTGTAAGAAAATAAGATAGTTCCAAAAACTAATAAGTCCATGAAAGGCAGTAACACAAAGCAATGTCCACACAAGATATAAAAGCAATCCAAGACAGCATTTATCCAGACAGGAATCAACAGGATGCAAAGACAATCCAAAAGGCTAAAAAAACTCCACAGGAACAAGACGCCTTGAACAGTATTACCATGGCACATGAACTTGATTTCCAAACTATGCCTGATCTAACAGGTTTTCCCTAGAAGCAAACCTTATATCCCCAAACCCAGAAATTGGTTTCGCTTCCCCCCACACTTGCCCCTTATCTGACGAAGCCTTTCAGAGCAAAGCAAACACTGAGTTTGCTATCAATTCTGCCTGATCTCCAGCTGCCTATCCTTCAACTCCCTATCTGGCTGCTCATTAAAATTTCCAGGTGTCAGATTGTCTTCCAAACCCAAATCTTGAGAGCTCACAGGAAGAGGGAGTAAACCATCATTCCTAGGCTCAGCAGGAATATTCTCATGAGAAACTGCCCTTTGCACTGGGGCCTCTCTGTCATTGTCTGTATGAAAATCATTGACCAAACCATCTCCATCTTGCACCTCAGCCTCGGCACCATCATTACTCTCATCATAAGCATCATGATTCTGGAACACAAACACAGGCTGATTCCCAACACTAGGATCCAGGCAGGAAGCTCCATGAAGCAGCTTCCATTGTTGCTCCTCCTGTTGGCGGGAAATTCAAGAAGCCTGTCGTTTGCCGTTTGCAGTCTGGGTCCAGAGAGGGATGTGGGAAACAGGAATGTGGAGGGGCTGTATACAGAATAGTCTGTGATTGACTCAATGGCCCAGTCCAGGTAAATACAAAGGAACAGTCCAGTAAGAGACAATGAGCAATTGTAAACGACAGATCACTGACTTACAACTGTGTGATTCTCCAGATATTGTGGGACTCAAACTCCCAGCATTACTGCCTTCTTCAAAGACTATGGAGCCTCATATCATAAAACTCAATGGGATAATCTTCACCTGCAGGTAAATGGGATAATCTTCACCTGCAGCTTATGTGCTGATTCCCCATTTCCTCAATTTATTTTAATTGCTGCTATCTGAATGGGAAACCTGTTAGATCAGGCATCGTTTGGAAATCAAGCTCATGTGCCATGGAAATCCTGTTCAAGGGGTCTTGTTCATGTGGAGCAGTGGTTTTCAACCTGGGGTCCCCAGATGTTTTGGCCTTCAACTCCCAGAAATCCTAACAGCTGGTAAACTAGCTGGGATTTCTGGGAGTTGTAGGCCAAAACACCTGGGGACCCACAGGTTGAGAACCACTGATGTGGAGAATTTTAGCCTTTTGGATTGTCTTTGCTTCCTGTTGATTTCTGCCTGGATAAACACTGCCTTTTATATCTTGTGTGGACATTGCTTTGTGTTACTACATTTTACTGACTTATTACTTTTTGGAACCTTCTGATTTTCTTACAAGCATTTATTATTACTGGCTATTTACTAATCTTCATTAAAAGAGCATTTGTTTCTTCACTCATCGTGTGGTGTGTTTTAAAGTCAGAGGGTTTTTTCCTGACCTGGGGTGCAACACCTAGCCGGACTGACATGAGTATTCTGAATGGCTGTCAAAGTAAATAAAAATGCTCTGTATTTTTCAGTGCTTTATGTCAGTACTTTGAGCACAAGCTCTGATATCCTTTTTGGCCAATACAATTAAAGACTTCTGCTTTTGCTTCCACATCTATGTCTCATTTGACCTTCTGACTGCGTGACATGCCTTGCTCATGGACCCGTGATTTAGGATTGGCTGAAATCACTCAACGCATATGTGTGTGTGTACAGAGAGAAACAGAGCAAACACATGTACCTTCAAGTCACCTGTTGACTTATGGTGAACCCATGAGATTCATAGTGTTCTAAGAATCATAGAATCCTAGAGTTGGAAGAGACCTCATGGACCATCCAGTCCAACCCCCTGCCAAGAAGCAGGAATATTGCATTCAAAGCACCCCTGACAGATGGCCATCCAGCCCCTGTTTAAAAGCTTCCAAAGAAGGAGCCTTCACCACATTCTGGGGCAGAGAGTTCCACTGCTGAATGGCTCTCACAATCAGGAAGTTCTGCCTCATGTTCAGATGGAATCTCCTTTCTTGTAGTTTGAAGCCGTTGTTCCATTGCGTCCTAGTCTCCAGGGCAGCAGAAAACAAGCTTGCTCCCTCCTCCCTGTGACTTCCTCTCACATATTAATACATGGCTCTCATCATGCCTCCTCTCAGCCTTCTTCAGGCTAAACATGCCCAGCTCCTTAAGCCGCTCCTCATGGGGCTTGTTCTCCAGACCCTTGATCATTTTAGTCGCCCTCCTCCGGTCACATTCCAGCTTCAATTGTGTCAATATCTCTCTTCAATTGTGGTGCCCATAACTGGACACAATATTCCAGGTGTGGTCTAACCAAGGCAGAATATAGGGGTAGCACGACTTCCCTAGATCTAGACACTATGCTCCTATTGATGCAGGCCAAAATCCCATTGGCTTTTTTTTGCCGCCACATGACATTGTTGGCTCATGTTTAACTTGTTGTCCAAGATCTTTTTCAAGAATTACTTAGAGGATTACTTATAGGTGGTTTTGCAAATTCCTCCTCTTGGTATTCATTGGTGGCCTCCCATAGAAGAAATAATCCGGGCTAACCTTTCTTAGCTTCTAAGATCAAAAGGGATGCCTCAAAGGTATTTAGGTCCTCAACTGTCATTCGAATTGTACAATTAGTTGATGTCTTCAAGCACACAATAGTGGGATTATTGATCAAAGAGACATAAACATCCTATATAACGTATCTGTTTTCAAAAAATCCAGGCAGCAGAGATTACATTTTGGGATAAAAACTGTCCAACCAAATTTCAAAATGTGCAACAGGAAGGAAGGAAGGTTGTTTCACATCTTGCTCAGTGGTGTAGAGAAAATGAATTTTTCATCATGACATGCAAAGTGGAGATAAGCGAGAATCTACATGCATAACGAAAGGACGATGGCTGTTCTTCCTTTGAAAATGTACAGATCACCAACGCTTGGCATATTAGCATGCTCTGATTTTATTTGCTTCTTTGATTGTGTGATGGATACAGATGGGTGTTACAAGACTGTACCTCCTTTCTCAGAATGATTTCTAAGCGTAAGAAATTAGATCATTTAGTTTCTGTACCTCATTTCTGCTGTAGCGCCTGATAGGTTCCATGTCAGTGGACAGTGAGTCCGTTCTGGGCTTTGGACTAAATCCCTGAATGTTGAATCGAACTTGGATTGCAGCCCAATATTATTGTTTAATAATAGGTTTTTCATTGTGGGGTTTTTTTCGGGCTATAGGGGGCCATGTTCTAGAGGCATTTCTCCTGACGTTTCGCCTGCATCTATGGCAAGCATCCTCAGAGGTAGTGAGGTCTGTTGGAAATAGGACAATGGGTTTATATATCTGTGGAATGGCTGGGGTGGGGCAAAGAGCTCTTCTCTGCTGGAGCTAGGTGTGAATGTTTCAACTGACCACCTTCATTAGCATTTGAAGGCCTGGCTGAGCCTGGGAAAATCTTTTGTTGAGAGGTGTTAAGATGTGCCTGGTTGTTTCCTCTCTGCTGTTTTTCTGTTGTAATTTTAGAGTTTTTTTTTTAAATACTGGTAGCCAGATTTTGTTCATTTTGCAAAACAGCAGAGAGGAAACAACCGGGCACATCTTAACACCTCTCAACAAAAGATTTTCCCAGGCTCAGCCAGGCCTTCAAATGCTAATGAAGGTGGTCAGTTGAAACATTCACACCCTAGCTCCAGCAGAGAAGAGCTCTTTGCCCCACCCCAGTCATTCCACAGATATATAAACCCATTTTCCTATTTCCAACAGACCTCACTACCTCTGAGGATGCTTGCCATAGATGCAGGCGAAACGTCAGGAGAAATGCCTCTAGAACATGGCCCTATAGCCCGAAAAAACCCACAAGAACCTAGTGATTCCAGCCATGAAAGCCTTCGACAATACATTGTTAATAATGTTTTTAATTGCCTATTTATATTTAACGTTTTAATCAATGTTTTAACTGTGTTCTAGTGCTATGTTGTGTGCTGGCATCTAATTATTGCCGGTGTAAGCTGCCCTGAGTCCCCCCTCAGGGGTTGAGAATGGGTCTTATAGGATTGACGGAGGGGTTGACGGAGTACAAAAGTTTGAAATAAATAAATAAGTAAATAGCTGGATTTTTAAAAGAATGATCAAAGTTTTGAACCTTAGCCCCCAAATAGACTCGGCACCTTGGAAATCTTCTATAAGATTTGGACTAAAACCCAAAGCCAATTCACTATCTACTGACATAGAAGCTACTAGCCGTCATTGGCTAGTACAGTCTGCCTTCAAAATCCATGGATTCTGCACACAAGGATTCAAATATAAAATCCTATAGGACCCATTCATTCATCTTTCATACAATTCCTCATGGGCCATCCAGTCCAACCCCCTGCCAAGAGGCAGGAAAATTGCATTCAAAGCACCCCTGACAGATGGCCATCTAGCCTCTGTTTAAAAGCTTCCAAAGAAGGAGCCTCCACCACATTCCGAGGCAGAGAGTTCCACTGCTGAATGGCTCTCACAGTCAGGAAGTTCTTCCTCATGTTCAGATGGAATCTCCTTTCTTGTAGTTTGAAGCCATTGTTCTGCGTCCTAGTCTCCAGGGAAGCAGAGAACAAGCTTGTTCCCTCCTACCTATGACTTCATCTCACATATTTATACATGGCTATCATGTCTCCTCTCAGCCTTCTCTTCTTCAGGCCAAACATGCCCAGCTCTTTAAGCCGCTCCTCATAGGGTTTGTTCTCCAAACCCTTGATCATTTTAGTCACCCCCCTCGGGACACATTCCAGCTTGTCAACATCTCTCTTCAATTGTGGTGCCCAGAATTGGACAATATTCCAGGTGTGGTCTAACCAAGGCAGAATAGAGCATGGGTAGCATGACTTCCCTGGATCTAGACACTAGACTCCTATTGACGCAGGTCAAAATCCCATTGGCGTTTTTTTTGCTGCCGCATCACATTGTTGGCTCATGTTTAACTTGTTGTCCATGAAGACACCAAGATCTTTTTCACACGTACTGCTCTCGAGCCACGTGTCCCCCATTCTGTATCTTTGCATTTCATTTTTTTTCTGCCTAAGTGGAGTATCTTGCATTTGTCACTGTTGAACTTCATTTTGTTAGTTTTGGCCCATCTCTCTAATCTGTTAAGATCATTTTGAATTCTGCTCCTGTCTTCTGGATTATTAGTCTGAAAAGAAGCAAGGGAGCTGAGGGATGATTTATTGTTGCCACCAATTTGAAAGGAACCAGTATTCAGGAGATTTTACCCCAGTTCCCAATTTTAAAAAGAACTGGCCGATTTGCAATGGAGGTTGCCGATTAGGAACCAAATTTACCATCTAGGCCTGTCGATTTTAATTCGTTATTTCGTTATTTCGTTATTAATTCGTTATTTTTGCATTTTTGAAGCGATATCAAAACACATTTTCAAACCCGGAAGGGTTTAAAAATATCGAACCAGCAGCCCCCATAAATTTAACGAGCTTCCGCTCGTTTCGTTAATGGGATGGAGGCTGCTGGAGTGCTGCTGGTGCCATTCCCCTCTTTCTCGGCCTGGGCTGCTCTTCCCGCCCTCTTTCCCCTCTCCCCGTTTCCTCCTCCTCCTCCTCCACATGCGGCTGCATAGTGAGTCAGGGGCAGCTGAAGCAACTTACGTTCCAAATCCCTGGCTGAGTGGCTGTGGGCTCAGGGCTGCTTGCTTGCTCGCTTTGGGCGAAAGGAGAGGGAGAGAGGATCGAGATGTGCTCCTTCCTTAAAGAAACAGCACACTGTTTTGTTTTTCTCTCTCCCTCTCCTTTCGCCCAAAGCGAGCAAGCAAGCAGCCCTGAGCCCACAGCGCGGCAGCTGAGGGCCGGGGCTGGAGGATCGAGATGTGCTCCTTCCTTAAAGAAACAGCACACTGTTTTGTTTTTCTCTCTCCCTCTCCTTTCGCCCAAAGCGAGCAAGCAAGCAGCCCTGAGCCCACAGCGCGGCAGCTGAGGGCCGGGGCTGGAGGATCGAGATGTGCTCCTTCCTTAAAGAAACAGCACACTGTTTTGTTTTTCTCTCTCCCTCTCCTTTCGCCCAAAGCGAGCAAGCAAGCAGCCCTGAGCCCACAGCGCGGCAGC